AAATACATACAAAATAATATAAAATAAGTTTTATATTCTACATATTTGCATTTGTACTCCTTCCAAACTGAGCCATTTCCAATGATATAATTCAAATTTCTTAATTTCCAATGATATAATGCAAATGCTAGGACTTAAACCCTACAAAAAGATTTGAATAGGAAAAGAGTTCGACTACGATATTAGAAAAAAAATGATCGTCACATAATAAAAATAGTATTCATCAAAATTCAACCGGGGGGGGATGATTGGTTAGAGCACTTCCTGTATCATAGCTTTTCCAGCATAATAGATTTACCCATAAGGAAAATTTATTCACCAAAAGGCAACGGAATAAGTCATTCAATTCAACCATTTCAGCTGTGAAATGTATTGTTATAGTAAAAATCTCAAATGTATTGCTAAAACCTTGATCCAAGAAATTCATGTTTTAATTCTTTTAATATAAACACATACAAAAGATTCATGTATTTAGCATTCTTTCTTAAAAAAATCTTATAAAAATGAGGTCAAATGCATAAATTTAATATACAAAAAGTTGTTATTCTTTTAAGGGATAAGGCTTTTCATATGATGACAATTTTCTTTAGCCTCTTCTGATGTAAATGACGGGGATGCATTCATCAATGAAGTTGTAGACAACGCAACCACTCGAATTTCATTTCATGTATTCACTTTTTTTTCCCTCTAATGAGGTTTTCTTTCTTTTATAAGAAGTCTTCTAATGAGGAAATGGCTGCATGTTCCGTCAACCACATTCATGATAATGACGGGTCCCATGAAATCTGAAATCTGTTGTGAGTATTCTCTCTTATTATTTCTTATTATGGAGCTCCACCTTGCCTTTTGTGCATTCACGTGTAGCTCAGTGGCCGGCTGGTACTGTAATTTCTAAAATTTATCAGTTGTAAATATACACTTGACCGTGATTCTAAGCTCATCCAAAAATTTGCACTCATCCAGATCCAACTGAATAAGCTTACCAATTAATATATAGCCTTCCAGCTGTAGCCAAGCAACGATCGGAGGACAGGAGTTGTCAACTTGATTCTGAGTCTTCGACGTCTTCATTCATGGACTGAATCAGACGGATCAGAAATGAGACAGGCAAAAAGACCTTAGAAAAAAAAAAAAAACATATCATTACACAAAGGACCTTCTGAAAACAGAAAAAGTGAATATATCTTCGTGGTTATTCAATTAGGCCTTGTTACCATAAAAAAGGCCTTGACAAAATATTGGACAATGCACATTGGAATTCCCTCAATTCAGACATCAGACTAAAGATGAAACCTAATAGAAGCAACAAAGTTACTGAGATGAAAAGCCAACCAGGAAACGTGATGAGGATCAGTTTTGACGCATCTGTCAGCAATTGAGAGAAATAAGCACATCAGTGAAGGTAGCTGAAGCCTAGCTCGCAACAGGACCCATCCAAACAGTGAACTCATAGTTGACTGCATTAACAGAAACGTTGAGGGTTGCCATTCCATGGAACATAAGCTTGATCACCCAAGAATCTGGACATTTGTTTAAGCCCACAACATGTAGGTTAGAGAAGAGGAAACCAAGTAGCTGATTCTAGAGGATTTGTTGGGTTGCACTGTAGAGACAGTGAAATCTACCCATAGGGCTATTTTTGTATTTTTACTTTTCTTTTCTATATATCTCTCTTTGTATTATATCTCTCATGTATATTAAGGACAGATCTGTCTTTTTACAACTTAATATAAATATTTCTTTTAGGGTGTCGACTGACACAAGTTGTCACACCCACCCTTCGATTGTGTTGTCTCTCTCTTTCTCAGTTTTTCGATCCGACTCTGACATGGTATTAGAGTAGGTCACGATCTGATCTACGAGCGACTACTTCCTCATCTCTTTCTTATCTGTTATCTAGAGTACTCCCTAACAGTATTTGGGAGGCTCTTGAGTGTTCTTAAACCCAATTTCTGAAGCTGCTTTTAATCAGAACTCGATAGACTTTGTTCCTGGACTGCTGCGCCACCAGATTTCTCTTTCAGATTGGATCTCCCTCTAGAAGCATCGGGTCGGGCTAAAACTTTAGATCTAGTGTCACCCAGGGCAGATCTACTGTTTCCAATTGGTTTGGTTTGAATCGGATTTGATCTAGAAGGGTTTTGAGCCACTTCAGAGTTTGACAAACCCTTACAGTTTCATTTTTTGGACATTAACTGAAAGGTACTTCATTATTCTACTGTTTTGAACACTTCTCTATGTGGTTTTTCTTGCTCTTGTGATTCAATGGTATCAGAAAGAATGGAAGTTCTCCCCATCAAGTTTAATGGTACGAACTATGCACTTTGGAAATTCAATTTCCAATTTCATGTGGAGGCAAAAGGTTTCTGAGGATATTTGGATGGATCAGTAGTTAAACCTGATGATTCAGACATCAAAGGTCTTAATCAGTGGAGAATTGATAATGCAAAAATTGCATCTTAGATCTTAGGATCCATTGAAACTGACATTGCAATTCCTATGAGAGGATACAAGACTGCTTGTGAGATGTATGAGTATTTCGAAAGTATATCAGCAATCAAACACCTCAAAACAATACCGGATAGAGGTTGACATCTTCTCCTATTATCAAAGAGAAAGAAAGGTCCAATAGTACTATGCCAGGTTTATTAACCTTTGGACTGAATATGAGCTTGTTCACATGGGGAATGATCCTTCAGAATGTTGTGTAAAGTATATGAAGGAACATTTCAATAGAAGAAAGATTATGCACTTCCTAATGCATCTCAGACCTGAATTCAAAGTTGTTAGATCTAATATCCTGAGTCGATGAACACTTCCTGACTTGGATACTATTCTCGGTAAAATTCTGAGGGCTGAACCCATATTTACCACACAGACTACTCTGGATGGAAGGAAAAAGTCTAACATTGATACGGCCTTTCTAGCAATAAAACCGAAAGGGAAAAAGAACTTCTCTAAAATATAGTGCTATGAATGTAAGGAGTTCGGACATGTTGTTTCTCATTGCAAGAAAAATAATACATGCACCTACTGTAAGCAGGTTGGCCATATTATCACTGAATGCCCCACTCGACCTCTGAAAAGCAATGGATCAAATTAGAAGAAAGGAAGCTATAAGGCTTATTAGACAGGTGTAAATGGATAAGATGTAACATCCTCCATTACTTCTGTGACTAGGCAAAATGACACCTCAGGTAGCATGTCTGAAGAACGAATTCAATAGCTCATGTCCTCTGTTATCTCTTCAACCTTCTCTACTATGGGCCTGTCTAGTAAGTCTCCTACCTACTGTCCTTCATCGAACCATTTATGGTACATTGACTCAGGAGCCTCTAACCATATGACAAGGGCCGCTCTTGGTCAGTGTCCTAAACCCCATCTCCCCAATAAACACATTGTTACTGCTAATGGTGAGAAATTAGATATACTTGGATGTGATGATTTATATTTATCTACTTCTAAGTCATCTCCATTTCATTTGTCCAAAACCCTATTTGTACCTAAGCTTACCACCAGTTTAATTTCTGTTGGCTAACTTGTAAAGGAAGGTAACAATGTCTCATTTACTTCTGATGATTGTTTGATATAGGACYGGAAAACTGGGGAGGTGAAGGGGAAGGGGCGTAGTTTGGAAAGACTCTTTGTTCTAGAATTTGAGAAGAATAAAACTGTGCATGCTTCTACCTCATGTTTAAATTCTACTACTTCTAGTTCTGAATCTGTTAATTGTAATAAAGATTGGTAATTGTGGCATAAACGAATGATTGGGCCATCCTTTTTCTAAGAAACTTGATCAGTTGTTTTCCTCTAGCAATTTACCTGTTTCTAATGTTTTTCTTAAAAATGTGAATAAAGACTGCATTACTTGTAGCTTATGTAAGAGTCATATTTTGCCTTTTCCTTCTCATTCTGAATATGCAACAGTCCCTTTTTATTTAATAATACATAGTGATGTTTGGTTGTCTCCAGTTGTCTCACGGATGGGTTTTAAATATTTTGTAACCTTTATTGATGACTGCACTCGTTTCACTTGGGCCTATTTTCTTCAAAAGAAATCTGAAGTGTACTCCATATTTCAACACTTTCACACATGTTGTCACTCAGTTTGATGCCCGAATTTGTGTGCTACGATCGGATTCAGGGGGACAATATATTGATGGAGATTTCTAAAACTACTTAAAACAACATGAAATTCAAACCCAAAAGTCTTGTCTAGGCACCCCACAACAAAAAAGGGTTGCAAAAAGAAAAAATGAGCATATCTTGAGTGTAGTCAAAACCCTTTTACATGATTCCCACGTATCCTCTTGGTTTTGGGTGAAGGCGGCCAACACTGCTATGTATCTCATAAATCGTCTTCCGTCATCAATTTTGAACAATTCCTCTCCTTTTCAATCCCTCTTCCACAAATCCCCAGACTTATCCATGCTCAGAGTATTCGGATGTGCTTGTTTTGTCCACCTTCCACCCCATGAACGCACAAAGTTAACTACACAAGCAGCTTTGTGCGCCTTTATGGAGTATAGCTCTGAACATAAAGGGTATCTTTGCTATGACTCTTTGGTTTGTCGTCTTTGAATTTCTCGTAATATAGTTTTTCCTTAAAGTGTGTCATTTTTTGAACATATTGTGAAGTTCCCAACTCCTTCTATTTCCTTGCTGCATAGTTTTGATTCTACAAGTACATCGGATACTCCATTGTCACCTCCACAACAACTTCAGACCTACTTCAGGAAGCAACAACCTTGTTCAGTCTCCATCCCCCCTCTGCTCCACCTCTAGTTGCTGATCCGGTCACTCCAGCTACCTCAATAAGTGTTCAAGACCTTCCCTCTGAACCTATTGCTCCTACTTTACGCCGTTCCTCTAGAATTTCTCGTCCACCTAACCGTTATGGTTATTCACYAGACCATAGCTCATTTTTTGCCATTTTATCTACCACAGACATTCCCTGATCTTATCAGTAGGTTGTAGCAGAACCACATTGGAAAGATACAATGGATTTTGAGATTCAAGCTCTTCTGGAGAATGACACCTGGGACCTAATCAAAGCAACACCTGAGACATCTCTCATAGGAAGCCGATGGGTCTATTCTGTGAAACTAAAATCTGATGGAAGCTTAGACAGATACAAAGCTGGGCTTGTTGCATAGGGTTACAAACAGGAATATGGGATAGACTATGAGGAGACTTTTGCTCTTATAGCTAAGATGACCAATGTACAACTTTTAATGGCTGTGCCTGCAGTCAAACAATGGACAATTCATCAGATGGATGTCAAGAATGCTTTTCTCCATGGGGAAGATGTCACTTTATGGCCTGAAGCAAGCTCCTAGGGCTTTTGAGAAGTTCAGGTCTGTCATCACTGATGCTGACTTTATTTAGAGTTCTTTTGATTACTCCTTGTTCACCCTAAGGCGGAAGCAAGGAGTAACGATATTATTCCTTTATGTTGATGATATACTCATTACAGGGGATGACATAGAAAGAATTTCTAGGCTACAACAGTTACTCAGTAAATCCTTCAAAATGAAGGACTTGGGACCGTTGACATATTTCTTGGGGCTTGAGGTGAGCAGAAATTCTCGAGGCTACTTTGTTAATCAACAGAAGTATGCAGCTGATCTAGTTAAACTGGCAAATCTTAGTGATTCTAAGATTGTGGGCACTCCACTAGAACTGAATCTGAAACTCAACAAAGATGATGGGTCTCCCCTTGAAGATCCTACCCTTTATCGTCAGTTAGTGGGCAGTTTAATCTATCTCACCATGACTCAGTTGGACATATCTTATGCAGTTCAAATAGTAAGTCAGTTTGTGTCTTCTCCGAGACAACCACATTTATCTACATTCCATCAGATTATAAGATATGTACGGGGCACACTATCACATGGGATATTCTTCTCCTCATCATCTCCCATTCATCTTATGGCCTATGCAGATGCTGATTGAGCTGGATGCCTTGACACCCGACGGTCCACAATTGGCTAGTGTGTCTTCCTAGGCAACTCTCTTATCTCATGGAAGTGCAAGAAACAAGCTATTGTGTCCAAATCTTCCACTGAAGCTGGATACAGGGCTGTCTTCCGTATGTAGTGAGATCATATGGCTTCGGGCTCTTCTATTTGAAATACTAAGTGAGCCACCATTGTCTGTTCCTCTTTATGCAGACAACATCAGTGCAATCAAACTTGCATCCAACCCCGTCTTCCATGAGCGCACCAAACACATAGAAGTTGATTGCCACTTCATTTGCAATCTCCTTATTGAGGGTACCATATCTCTTCCTTATGTCTCCTCCGGACTCCAATTGGCAAACTTGTTAACTAAAGCAATGACACGGGCTTGGCATCTATTTCTTATGGACAAACTTATGCTTATTCCTAGGCATCAGTTTGAGGGGGAGTGTAGAGATAGTGAAATCTAGCCGTAGGTCTATTTTTGTACTTTTACTTTTCTTTTCCGTATATCTCTCTTTGTATTATATCTCTCATGTATATTAAGGACAGATCTGTCCTTTTACAACTTAATATAAATATTTCTTTTAGGGTGTCAACTGACACAAGTTGTCACACCCACCATTCGGCTGTGTTGTCTCTCTCTCTTTCTCTTTTTCAGTTTTTCGATTTGACTCTAACATGCACTACCTGACGCCTCTGTTGGTGCATCTATCCATTGTATTAAAAACAAAATTCATCACATTTACATGGTACCAGCTGATTCTTTGGCAGTTTTGGGAATACAATGGCCTAGTTAATGACAAATTGTAAAATTTGAAGAAATAGCAGTTATTTTTCTGTGAAATGCCAACAGAAAAGGCAGCTGAAGCATCACCTGGTAATATTACACAGGAATGTTTCTGGTGTTCCTGCCTAGTTACTGGTAGCAAAACATAGTTGTTTTCTGTTCTCTGAACATAGAACACCACCAAATGCCACTTAAGCTGCCTAGGCAACCCTAATACAAGAATGTTTCTGGGAGTTTGGAAGTGATAGTAACAAAACAAGCTAGGCACATCACAGTTTTGGCCACCTGTCATCAAACATGAAAAATGCACTTGCACATATTATTAATTTTTTGTTTTTTTTTTTGAAAACTCTCATGTGTTAAGGACAGGTAGCACARAATAATGATGTGCCTAGCATTGTTTGCTACCAGCAGATCCATGCCATTTCTGGTGTTCTACATAGCCAAAAAATAGTTTTTTCTGAGAACACCAAAAGTGTCCTGTTGAAATGTTACCACAAGCTGCCTGTGGAAATAGATTATACTTGCATGGCAGCATCTGGTGATTCTTATGCAAGGGAACCCCATTAATATAGCGTTCTGTAACAAACAACTCCAAATTCTATTCAAAGATAACTCTCCACAGAAGAGTACCCTCTTTTATTGTCAGGATTGTATTGCCTCTTTCATACATGCATTATATATCTACATGAAGCTATTGTAAGTTGTAATATTACCAAATATAATTGAAATCAATAATATAATAAGATGGACTGCTATAGTTGAAATCTGGAGATCTCCACAAACAGTTGGTTTGATTGGGCAAATGGTTACTGTACTACCCAACTTGCATACCTTGTATATCATTAACAAACCTTTCTTGACATTCCTAAAGGATGAGATTAATAAGCCAACTCAGATACTTCTGCATTGGATCAACTCCATGACTTCCAATTGCCATAATCTAAGCATCAGAGCAGTCCTTATATTAATATGGAATAAGCGAGAGTTACAAATACCAACTTTTCCTTCCTGTCTTTCTATTTATCTTTTTTGATTATGCATCTATCAACTAAAATCATACACTTAGACCGAATTTACTAAGACAAAATGTGGAGAATAGTTAGGTAGTCAATGTTTTGCCCTTTATATGATTAAAAACCATATTTCACGTGTCCAGGAAAAAAAGGAAAAGCACAATCATGATTAAAGAGGCAGACCATCTAAAAAAGGAGAGCATTTTGTTGAAAATGATTTTCAGGTATTGATAGCAGTTATTTCTTCCCCTTCTTTAGTAGGGACTTTCATATTGTTGGCTGATGTCTTATTCGTGCTAGATTTAATGCAGACTTGTGCTTTCTAACCTATAAAAAAAAGGTTTAACATGTATCTGTTTTCCACAATGATGAATCATCATCTAGAAGGCAAGGAGTTTCATAAATTAATTCACTAACAATAATCTGTATTTTGTTGTACACATAAGCTGACATGTATAGTCACAATGTTGTATGCTGTGTATACAACCTATACATTGTATACATCACAGTTAGCATGTACATTAGTGTTTGCTGACTGCTGTAAAAGAGCTTTATTCATGCGAATCTTTATTCATGCGAAATTTGTATTTGCAGTCAAAACACAATTTTTGTGCAATGAATAATTCTATGGACTAAAGCAATTGACAAATGCTACCATGCAAGGAAAGGAAAGAAACATATCAGGGAATTGCATGCAAAATGAGAAGTAAAAAACAATAATACAATGCTCTGATGTACAGTTTTAATTTTTAATATTTGAAAATACATAAAAAGTTGGGCTCTTATTGGGTTGGTTTCCTGTAAGACCTAAATCGGAGATCAACACAGTTGAACTGATTGATCGTCTTTGAACCCTAACAAAATCTGAGGCATGAAAAATTCAATCCAAGTACCTAACCTGTGCTAGAATTGGGTCACATTGGTTGAGTTTGAGTTGAGCTTCAACCTTCACTAAGGAGTGATTATTGATTATTGGATCCAGATTAATTAGCTGTGGAAGGGCAGACCAGGTAATCAGGGTAACCATTAATGCTCCTTCTCATAATGCATATGCATCCATCCCTGGTGCTGCTGCACACTCAACTCATAGTGTTGATTTGTTACTGAAGGAGATCCGAGGTATCAATGTGTCATTATGGCACTTCATACAATGAGTTCAACCATCAAACAACAAAAATGGAGCTAGTGGTGTCATCCATTTACTCCACAGTACAACTTTGAGGTTCAACAGATATTGCACCAGTACCACATGATGAACAGAACATTAATACAGGTCCCATATCCATTCAGTATGCGGAGTGGGGCACAATTTCCTGTTTCTGGCTTTATCTATCGTTTCTTCTAACAAGAAAGTGACACACAAGAAGCAGGTAGAAGCATGTAGCAATAAGTTTGTATGATGTATGAAGTAGAACAACCATATGTCAGTAATAGCAAAACAGTTTTGTTGTTATGTATAAAATTTAGGTACAATGGAAGGTTCCAGTTGGTAAGGCCTCTAGCGGGTTCTAGTGGAGACTTGGGATTGAGTGCCACCTTCTCCAGGGTTTGGGGGATGGGCTCCCCTGTCCTCCTGCCCCCAGTTGTGTAGTCCCATTAATAAAAGAAAAAGAAAAAAAATAAGTACATTGATTAAGTGCCATGCACCCCTTTGTTATTCCTGATCCATGCAAATAATTACCTCTCAATCTCCTATTTGTAGTTGAGAGTTTTGGTCAGTCTTAGACCATGTAGCACTGTCCATAATTCTGCCCTAATTGAGTCACCTTCCCATATAAGACCTCAAAAGAGTGCTAGAATGTTTCAATCTCATATCCACGGGGGGGGGGGGGGCACCATGGGCAGCCGATATCAATTTTTGAGTATGCCATTTATGGTGAACTGCTTGAAAGCCTCCAAAGTTTTTATCCAATTACTAACCTTTACCATTATGCTTTCTAATACTGCATCTTCATTCTTACTCTTGCCTCTGAAGATTCTTGGGTTTCTTTTTTCCCAAATACATCAAAGAGTAGCTGCTCCTGTGCATCTCCACATAATTTTGCCTTTTCTTTTGGCTGGAGAGAAGGGAGAGCTGAATAGGCTTTGTAGATTCAATGGAGGACCCACCTACAACCAAATAAAGAGAAAAGAAACTCCCAAAATTTGGAAGAAAAATGGTAGGAGATTAATAGATGGAACATATTTTATCACTTGCCAAACACAAAGGGCAAACATGAGAAGACAAATGCTAGTAAGGTTTTTCCCTTGAAGATTCTTGAAGGAGTTAATTTTGTCATGATCAACCTCCCACTAGAGAGCTCTAACTTTTGGTGGAATAGGTCCTTTCCAAATTGAATTGATTGGACACACTAGATGACGAGAAGGACTAATTGAGGACAGGAAAAAATATCCTTTAATATTCAATATCCAGACCCTACCATCTCCACTTGAGATATTAAGATTTAAAGACTCCCTTCAATGACTCAAGTAAGGAGCTAAGAAATGTTATCTCATGGTCTCTTAGTCATCTCTTGAGACCCAGACCCTATTGTGGCGGTCTGGTGGGTGATTTGTTCAAGAGATCACCCTAACTCTCCTCACTCTTTTCTTGACTGAAAACTCAATGCCTTTATTCCCAATTCGTAGCTCCTTAAATAGGAGATTACAAGAGGTGAGGGTCCTCCCTGTAGGAGAACTCCTTATTGAATTCGGCTATTAAGGATAAGGCTAGGATAAATCCAACTTTAAATCAACTCCTACTCCTACTTCTAATCGATAAACACTTCTACTAAGAACAGACTTAACTCCTACTTCTAATAGATAAGGTAAGAACGGATGGGATAAGATAAGCTGATGGAGCTGGCAAGATAAGCTGTCGTGTGGGCCCCTCCTTATCGCTGCTGCCGGCGGCGATATATCTTCCCCACGAACGCATCCATAACATCACACCCCTCCTGGGCAACGAGCTTGTCCGCAAGCTCGAGATCTGGGTAGGCGTTGTGAAGATCAGTCCAAGGGATCCAGGTGGCCTCAGCTGACGGTAGGTCGTCCCATTCCACTAGGACCTCGAAAGTACCTCGATTGACGCGGGACAGGACAAGAGCCCGAGGTTGGAGAATGGGTCTGCCATCCTTTAAGGGTGGTAGGGGAGGTACCTTATCAGGAGGAGGACCTGTAAAAGGCTTGAGCAAGGACACGTGGAAGGTA